AGAACCAGGACACAAACTTTGCAGAGAAGACAGGCTTGGTGACCACAGCCTGGGTATAGAAACTGGACACAGACAGATCTCACTACCAGGGATGACAGGTTCAGTGACCACAGCCTGGTCCAAGAAGTTGACACAGACAGACCTGGCTGTGCAGAGAGGACAAGCTCAGTGACAACAGCCTGGACATAGAAAATGGACACAGGCAGACCTGACTGTAGAGAGAGTTTAAGCTCAGTGATAAGTGCTTGTTTTTAGAAACTGGACACAGACAGACTTGACTATCCAGAAAGGAAAGGTTTGGTGACCACAGACTGATATTAGGAACTGGACACAGACCAGAGAGGTTAGGCAGACCTGATTGTCCAGAGAATTCAAACTCAGTGACATCAGCCTGGAAAGAGAAACTGTCTAACAATGTGATGTAACAATATGTAAGACAAATTATGCTATACTTATTAAAATGTATATGTGTATATGTATATTTGTATTTGTTACAAAACCTCTAATTTGAACACAGCTCATGCAGATTTTTAAGACTCACAATATTAGGTGATAAATATTGCATTTACATTTGCCATTATATTAACAGTTACAAGAAATACAAACTTAAAAACTTAAAATCTGAAATCTTTTAAACCCCTATCGTATTCGTATCGTATTGTATCATGGTATGCCCAGCAGGTGTTTTTTTTTATATATTGTAAGAGGACCCGGGGAAGGGTCATCTCTAACAGGTATTTCCGAAACGAAACACTGAAAATGCTAGAGATTGACCTTAGCAAGATGGCGGACAAAAAGAATCAGCTGACCAGTAGATGGAAAGGGTCTACTTTAAGAATCAATGAGACACAGGTGAGACGCATCAGGAACCGGAATATAAGTGCCCGGAGGCAGTGAACAGGGCGGAAGCCGGTAAGTGAATGCGTTTCGGAGGAAAAGAGTGGAAAGTGGTGCATGTTAAGGATCGGGCTAAGAAATAACGGACTCCTGCAAGGAGAAAAGGTTTATGGTTTTGGATTACGGACACTGGTTAAGGATACATCGCGGATTGGCTTTATTACGGACTTTTGGAACTCGGAACGGATCAGGACTAAGGGAACGGATTACGGACTGTATTAGGAAGACAGTTATTGGAAGAAACACCACGGATCTGAGGAAAAGAAAAGTGTGGTGTAAGTACTACCTTCGTTTACATAAACTCTCCCCCAGAGACACCACAATATATTGAGGTTGTAAAGAGTCAATCACACCAGATAAGCCCACAGGGATTTTAGGAAATTGTGAATGTAAAGTTTATATTTAACATACTGTGATATATAAATTATTAATTGTTTTCAATATAGTATGCATATGAACTATTTTATTATTATTAATGAGTTTTTTTCAAGATTTTAATTATATAAAGAATATATTAGACATACCCTGACTCTCAGTGGTAATTAAAGATCACTAGGCATTTCTCGATAAGAGTAGGGAGATAGCCCAGTGTGCAGGCCAGATTCCCCCCCTCAGCCTTTACTGTGGCCTCTAAATTGTCCCCATGTATGTTTAGCTTGCACTTGCCCTGCGATGGACTGGTGTCCCATCCGGGGTGTACCCTGCCTTGTGCTCGTTGCTTGCCATGTAGGCTTCAGGCTTCCTGTGACACCATATGGTATAAAGCAATTTGGTAAATGACATGTCATAATATATATTAGGCATTATGTCAGCAGCCATATCACCATTCAACTTACAGCTAGCAACCCACTAAAGGTCAGTAGGTGTGACCCTGGTCAGTACCTGGATAAGAGACTTCCTGGGAAAAACTAAGGTTGCTGCTGGAAGAGGTGTTAGTGGGGCCAGCAGGGGGCGCTCACCCTGTGGTCCAAGTTGGTCCTAATGTCCAAGTATAGTGATGGGGATGCTATACTGTAAAAAGGTGGATAAGACATAAAGCCGAGGTTGTGACTCCCTGTGGTCATTAAAAATCCCAGGGCATTTCTTGAAAAGAGTAGGAGTGTAACCCCGGCGTCGTTGCCAAATTTCCCATTGGCCCCTACCAATTACGGCCTCCTAATAATCCCCATCTATGAATTGGCTTCATTACTCTGCTCTCCCCCACTGATAGCTGATGTGTGGTGAGCGTTCTGGCGCACTATGGCTGCCATTGCATCATCCAGATGGATGTAGCACATTGGTGGTGGTGGAGGGGAGACCCCTATTACCTGTAAAGTGCTTTGAGTGGAGTGTCCAGAAAAGTGCTATATAAGTGTAAGCAATTATTAGTGGACTGCGTCTGCTAGTTTTATTTCCAGCTAAGCTTTCAGTCTCACAGCTGGTCTGATATTTTCATTAACTGTAAACTGTTTTAAGACACTTTAACTGTATATTTATAGACTCTCTGTGAGAGACGTGTGAGAGCAGCTGAATCCCAGGGCTGGTGTGTCAGGATTTCTGAAGGGGGGGGAGTTGTTGGACCCCTGTGCAAAGTCGTGAGGAAGGGAGTTCGAGCAAAAGTAAATCCAAGATTCCAAGATTCCAAATCCAAGTCGTTAGGCAAGAGCAATGTCAAAAGTAGGAGAACCAGGTTGGGTAATGAAAGGAGACAGGTTGAGAATAGTAGAACGCACAAGAGAAAGCTGTGGAGGAGTTCTCAATAGTGAGCGTAGGTAAGCCGATGAAGAGTGCTTAAATATTGAAGAGAGAGACGTGGTTGGATAAGTAGTTCCTGGATGACAGTGTATGGAATTTAGTATGTGTGGGAATGCCAGGGTGCTTACGGGAGAAGGCATGAGTCAGTTAAAGTATTTCTGAAAGATCTTTGGAGGCAGACTTACGGTAAAGATGATGAATCAAGACCTGGAACAGAGCCCACAGCTGCCAGCTCAGTGACCCCTGAGCCCAGTTCACAGAGAGGAGAACCAGGAGCTCTTCTCAGTCTCTAAGAGGCTGGGAGGAAGAAGATAAAGGGGACATGTGACGTGAGTCCAGGCTTTTCTGTCTGATATTATTCATGGTGCAACACTGATTGTCTGAATGTCGTCTGGTTCTGGATTGTCAAGAGTGAAAAGTCTGTCTGTGAGTCAGAGTTGTGAATCTGACTGAGAAGAGATTTTTGTTTATTTTACCTTGTCTTTTGCCAAGTGATGTTACATCCCTTCTAGATACCTCACACAGACTGTCAGGGTAAAAAAAGAGCAGAGAGAGAGATTGACAGATAAGAGCACACGCAGCGAAAGAGACAGGAAGTGGGAGAGAGAGGAGAAGGAGCAGGAAGACAGTGAAGATGTTCAACCACACTGTGACCACAGGAGACAGGAGGCTTTCCTCAGCTGCTGAGGAGCTCAGGGCTCATGGCCACTCAGGCTCAGAGGCTCTGGCAGCAGTCAGGTCTGAGAGCTTCTCCTCATACTGACACTTGAGCTCTGAGAGTCAGTCTCCATTCTGACAGCAACAGCCCGTCCTGTTCAGCCCTGAGATACACACTAAGCTGTGTGTGGAGAGGACATGCCACCCTGTACAGCACTAAACACTGGGCTCCCCTGTGTGTCTCCCTGTACAGCTCAGCTCTCAGCTGCCTCATCTTACTGACACCCACAGCCTCACAGAACAGCCTGGCTTCCTGTGCTGGAAGATCTCAGAGGAGCACAAACCATAGACTCACTGCAGTCTGACTTGCAGCTCCAGTACAACTCTGAGGAAACAGACCCATTTCCTAAAGACAAAGGGGTGAAGAGAAACTGCAGTTTTACTGAAAATAATATGTCCCTCTGTAAAATTATATTGCCATGTTACCAAACAAATATTTTCCACCCTGGCCAGGGATTGTTGTCTTAAATCTCTGCTGATAGGACTGATAGGCTGATAGGACTGATTGTTTCTAATTAATCATTTTGTTGTTTTTTCAAGTTTGAATCCAACTCTTCTGATCCTTGTGCTGCAATTATTTTGGTGAAGCTTTATAGCTTTACGCAGTAGCTCTGCTATATTGTTGAATGTAAGAATTCAAATACAGCGTAACTACTAACCACTGCTGCTAATACTGCTACTATTAGTTGAGGTAGTACTGCTATTGCAGCTACTGTTACTACTAATGCTACTAAAGCTACTGCTTCTACAACAACTAGTAATAACAATAATAATAAGGATGATGATGAGGAGGAGGTGAGCTGTGTTCTCACTCTGTTCAGCCTGGGGGCGTATCAGTGTATCAGTATCAGTTTAGCTTTAATGTGCTGTTAAATGGTCTCAGTCACACAGGCAGCTCTACACAGAGAGACACTGGGTCCACAGCTGGAGGGGCTGGAAAAACTGTATAGAGTGGAGCTCCACAGGGACAGACTCAGGGTCTGAGGGACTCAAGTGGAAGAGCCGATGTCCACCAGGCTCAGTACAGAGGGGACAGTCACTGCTGGGCTTTTCTCTCATTTAAATTCTTGATCTGTGATCACAGCCACAGGACAGCTAGTTCTTATTCAGTCCATCTTGTCTCTGTATTTCTGTGCTGACCTCAGTGTTCTCACTACCCCCTTGAGGACAGGCTGTCCTCACACTGTCCCTGACCAGGACTAGAATACACTGCTGTCTCTGTGACTCACTGCAGGACACCAGTCACTGGACACCGCCTGACACAGACAGCAAAAGCTACTACTGCTACAGCAGCTACTGCTACTACTAATGCTACTAAAGCTACTGCTACTACAACAACTACTACTACTAATAACAATAATAATAAGGATGACACCTGAAGAAGGCTCCTCACGGCCAAGATGCTGTGTTTCCTTTCTTCTCCTTTCAGCATGGAATAAACCTATTACTTGTTCCTTTGCAGACTACGCATGCTGACGCAGCTACCCACCTGAACTACTACAGACAGTAAGAGACACACAAGACCATATTCAGGACACACTGCCCGAACTTTTTATTTCACTAATAGATTAACTTCACATGGATTTACAATTATATTACTTATTTAGTACTACAGAGATTTTTTTAGTTTAATATCTGATCTCTTCCTGCCCCTGTAGAACCTGCAAGCCCTGCTGTCTGTATCTGTGTGTTTCGTCCCATGAGACACAGAGCTGCTTCTGTCTCTCCTCTCCTCCGCATTGCTGGGAGTGTCTTCAGGGAGAGGAAACAGTGATGTGGGTCTGATATATATGGTGAAGACTGAAAAGGCCCTGTCCGATTGGCCATCCCTCCTGTTTGAGAGTTTCCTGCTGTTAATCTGAAAAGGCAGTGCTGTGTGTGATTGGCGGGGCAGGGGGCTTTGTTGTTACTAGGCGTCCGGGGTACGGAGCAGAAGTTCAGTTGCCCTGCGGGCTCAGGTGTGAAGACAGGGGTCTCAGCTGTGCTCTGTCCTAACAACAATGGAGAGCTGCCTGTCCATCTTCTCTCTCGCTGTCCTGGTGCTGCACAGCTCAGCCAGTAAGTGTAAAGTCTTCTCCTGTCCAGACAGAAAACAACAACTGCAATTAAATGAAAAAGGAGTGAAAAAGTATTTTTGCAATAGTTTGGGTTGAAAGGTTTTAATGTTGTATTTTAAATTCAATTCTGTCTGGTTTTATCCTAAATTATTGCAAATGATTTTAGGGGAGTCTGTGAGACAGAAAAAATAGTTGCTTTAAACAATTGTATTTTTTAATGGCTTATTAACAGATAATAATTTAAGATCTCTCAGTTTTCTTCTATAAAATTGTAATCAAAATTGTACATGGAAAAGAACAAAAAGTAATTGAAAAATGTTAATATTCTGTTTTAAATTCAGCTTTAAAGGTATTAATAAAAATCATAACCAATTGACTTCTGTCTATTTCTGCATGTGTGGATCAGATAAAAAAAACACAGCATTGATAAAATTCTTCCTCTACCTTTGTACACCAACTTCAGCAGTTATACATTGCTAGAGGAAGCATTTTATCTTCAGTCCATGTTTCAGTCCATAAACATTAATGAACTATATCAGGATTTGGAATTTTCAGGTAAGCAATCTACAGCAGAGGCTAGTTATTATCACCCTCTACTGATACTTTCTAAACATATTTCATGTATAAAACTTCTATATAAAGTAGGTAAAACTCCTAATCTGTCACCATAAAAATAAAAAATATATATACGGTTTCTCATGGAAATTGAGAAGTATAAGAAATGTAGAAAAAAGTATTATATAATAGTGTAATATTTGGGTGAATCACAAATAATTGTCGAATTTACGCTGGGATTTTTATTTTAATGTGTTATTTTATTTTTATTTATTATTACAAACATTTTATTAATACATTAAAACTCATAAATGATTACAGACTGATGTATTAATAAAACTCAGTGTTTTAAAGACTAGAGTATTATGGAGACCCTGTAATTTTATTTCAGACTGATGTATTAAGAGATAAGTGTGTTATTAATGACTGCAGTATTGATGCTGGAGTATTAGGACTATAGTATTAATGCTGCCATTATTCCTCTTAATTTCCAGCTTTCTGCGATTCAGTTCAAAGTCATTTCACACTTGTTTAGTGTGTTTAGGGTGTCAAGAGAACAGGTGTTCCATTATGATAGGAAGTTATTTGTGTGAAATATTTCATTTAAAGAAATACAGTTATGTTTTGAAAATGTAAAACACTGGAATTGTAAGATAACTGTCCCTTGTAGTTTTTAAAGCTTTAAAATAAAATTGATATTAGTATTTTCTGGTTCATGTAGACCAGGATTGCTGTATTATGATATTGAAAAGGACAAGCTGTACTGTTGTGTTAGAAAATACAGATTTTAACATGAATTGCAAAAATAATTAGTATCGGTGATTTATTATTAGTAACTTGTTCTTATTAACTGAGAGTAACTGCATTAATTTAAGGATATCATGACATTACACCAAGAATTTAAAAGCTACAGGCAATTGTGCTTATGGTTATAAAGGACTCGTCTGCTATTTCACAACTTTAAATAATTTAATTTGTGTTTTTTGGTTTTGTCTCAGTTACATAATGATATGGATTATTGTCTGTATATTGCGAAGTTTTAATAAGAATTATTTTTTGTTTGTTCTGTATTCATTGGAAATCAGAAATTAGTGTCAAATGCAAGTATTTAAGTATTTATGTACAAGCATAAAATCCCACGAACACGCCCATTTCAATCACTGTCCACTGTACTGACCCCAGCACCCAGATACGCAGGAATATAGTCATTACAGCCACTGTATACTGTACCGAGCACAGCTCCCAAAAACCCAGGAACACAGTCATTACAGCTACTGTCCACTGTACTGACCACAGCTTCCAGAAACACAGGAACACCGTCTTTACAGCCGCTGTCCACTGTGACCAAAGCTCACAGAAACACAAAAAACGAAGTCCCACAGTCTTTAAAACCACGGTTCACTGCAGTGACCACAGATCCAACAAAAACCACTGACCACTACATTGACCCAGCTCTCAGATACACACAAAAGTCCCAGAACTCTGAAGTTATACAATTATTAAAGTCACTGTCCACTGTAGTGACCTAGAAAAACAGAAATATAGCCACTGTCCTTTTTAGTACCGACAGCTCCAAAAACCATAGGAACACAGCCATTACATACATACTTCTGTTCACCTTATAGACCACAGATAACAGAAACACAGTCATTACAATTGCTGTCTACTATGTAGTGATCACAAATCCCAGGAAAACTGTTAATACATCCCACTGTAGAGACCTCCGCTCACACAAACACAGTCATTACAGCCACCATCCATTATAGTGACCACAGCGTCTTGAAACCCAGAAACAGACTCATTGTAGCCAGACCATAGTTTAAAAACACTCTCACAAGTCCAAGCCCTCTGAAATCATGTAGTTTTCACACCCAGTGGCCACCATAGTGACTAGAGCTTCCAGAAACCCAGGAACACAGTCATTACAACCACAGTAGTGACCAAAGATTATTAAACACAAAGAAACATTCCAGCCCTCTGAAGTCATACGGCCATCATAACCACTGTCCATTTCCCAGAAAACAAAATTCTCACAAGTCTCAGTCATCTGTGACATGTGGTCATTACAGCCACAGACCAGTGGAATGACCATAGCTCCCAAAACACATGCCCTCTGATGTCAGAAAGTCATTATTGTCACTTTCCACTGTCAGGACAACAGCTTATAGAATACAAAACCATATAGTAATATTTACCTGTGTTCATATTTATTATTCAGCCTTTGACCCTAGTGTCACGAATATTCATGACTCTATGACACTGGGTTACTAAATATTGTGTATCAATCAGTCGGTGTCTCTCTCCAGACACTGGGTTATAAGGTACTGTCAGTGTGTGCATTAATCAGTATGTGTCTCTCTCTCTCCATGACTGGGTTATTGGATACTGTCAATGTGTTTATTAATCCTTCTGTCTCTCCTCTCTCTCCAGGCAGTGCTGATGTGAGGCTGGTGAATGGTACCAGTCCTTGCGAGGGGACAGTGGAGATATATCATGAGGGACAGTGGGGGACTATTGATGACACTGACTGGGATCTGGATGATGCTGCAGTGGTATGCAGGCAGTTGGGCTGTGGATCTGCTGTATCAGCACCAAGTGGGGCTCACTTTGGACCAGGGTCTGGATCAGTCCTGATGGGAGAAATTTCCTGCAAAGGGACTGAGTCGGCACTGAGGGAGTGTGGATCAAGTTCAGTTGTTTACTCCCATGAATATGATGTTGGGGTAATCTGTTCAGGTAACAACCTGCCATCAACAATAAGTATTAACATATACAAATACATATAAAACTGAATTAAAGAATAACACCTAAAAAACAATGACATAACATGATAATATTTATAAATGCAAGGAGTTAATTAATCTTATCTAGCATTTTATTTTTCTTTCTTTCTTGTTGATTTGTTAAATTAAGCCAGGGCTTCAGCTTAAAAAAATAGTAGCTTGTATCAGACTCCTACTACCTTTAGAGTAAAGAGCTATAATTATGACTAATATAGCAGCTTCTGTCACTTGTATTTGGTTCTGACAAACAAAGACAGCAGGCTGTGCCCCAGAAGGGGTGCACTTTAACCTGGATAGAGGGGGGGTGGATCCTCTATCTCGTGTAAGTGAAGACCAGAGAGCAAGTGGCTTTAAAGGACAGCAATTTAAAGGGAGGTTCTGGCAGCTGCTAGTTAACACAGCCAGGTCACGCGACGTAGAGACATCAGCGGCTTTACAGTGATGGGAGGTCTATGAGTGTTGGCAGCTTCTACAAGTGAGAGTCAGGCACTGCTAGAGTGAGTCGTAGCCTTTGATACTTGTGTGAGACTCGGTCCGCTGTCACAGGGTAGAGGTGCTGACTGCTGTATGTTAACACAAAGTCAAAGAGCACCCTAGAAGAACATAGCTGTTAGTGTGTTGGTGCTGCACCAAGGAACAGTGCTAGTCTAAAACAACTAAATGGAACTCATTTCATTTTTTTATCCAATTCTCAGTACTTTTTATATTTAAGTGTTCATTTCTGCTTGATATTGAAGGACAGTATTCAGATTCCAGGTTTTCTTCAGGAGGTATTGGGTTTAAATGTTGCCCAGCCCTACTGTTCGTGTCCAAATTCCCACTTTGAAACCCAGAGTTCTGTGGTGTCAGTTTGTGTCACACAGTGGGCTGTCCAGAGGTTCTTGTCATTTTAATTATTTTTCTAGATCTCTCAATATCTATGAAGGTGACTTGATCTGCAGTGAATGTGTTCTTGATAATTTGCAAATTAGTTTTTGCTCAGATTACTCAGAATTGTGATCAAATAATGAATACTCACTACTACTTCTCTCTCTTTCTCTCTGTTTTGATATTCAAGCATATTGAGTGGTCAGGGACAATGATCTATAAGTCTGTTCTGATATTTCAGCTCATCGAGGGGTCAGGCTGGTTGGAGGCATTGGACTCTGCTCTGGGAGAGTGGAAGTTCAGCATGGAGACACCTGGGGCTCAGTGTGTGACTCTGACTTCGACTGGCAGGATGCAGAAGTTGTCTGTCGAGAGCTGGACTGTGGGGTTCCCTCACTGTTTCTGAAAGGGGCTCATTTCGGGAGGGCAGAGGGACAGGTCTGGACAGAGGAGCTGCAGTGCCAGGGCAACGAATCTCGGATTTTCTCCTGTCCAAACTCAACCACAAAATCACAGAACTGCACCCATGAGAATGGCGTGGGACTGAAGTGTTTTGGTAAGAGCAGGAATTTTATTAATGTAGCCCTGAGTTTAAAATACAGTATTTTGAGAGAGACCATCCTCAGCTCCAACCAGTCACCTGCTCACTAGGGTACAAACCTGCAGCCCATTCTTCTCAGCAGTCTTTGCTCTAGGGCCCCTCGTGCATATAAAGCATGTGCACTTCTCCAGGGAAAGGAAGCACTTTGTGGTCAATGCTATTGGAAAGGAAATGTTTTTTTTAAGAAAATTAGAAGTTTCTTCTGACATTGTATGTATATTCTCTTGTTTATTAATTATAAATAGATTGTTATGGGGGCATTTCTTGTGAAATATGGAGCTGGATAATTTTAATGGGACAATGGTAGGTTCTGAGGGGGGGCAGAGCTTTAGCTATTAGGGGGAGTCAGCTTATAGGACCTTATTTTACAACTATCTGGAAATTCTTTAATGCAATGTTTGCTTAGTCTGTTCATGTTTTGAGCTATACATATAATTGTTGGTTTGTGGGAGCACTATCAAAACAATCCATCGTTTCTGCACCTGTGTAATTGCTGCTGAGCCATCATTTTGTTCTTGAGGGCACAGAGCTCACTTTGGCATTTCCTCCAGCCCTCTCTGTGACACCCGGGCAGTTCTGCCCCCTCTCCTCTCTGGCTCAAGGTCATAGGTCAGTGATGAGACTTCAGTGTGACCTGAGTTCAGATCTAAAATAGTGCAAAATCTTGCACACCTCTGTGAGATCCTTGAAGAGAAAAGATCAGAAAACTCACTTCACTAGGAATAAACACACCCAAGAATTAATGTCCTGATAATGGAGTGTTTAGTGAAACTTTGGCTTAATCCACTTGGCTGGGGGCTGACCTCCTAGTCAGAGGACACCTGGGCTGGGACACCCCTTGCAGAGTGATGAGTGAGGAGTGACCAAGGGGCAGCTGCAGAGGTGGAGATACTAAAGATGTAGACAGGGGAAAAAAGGGGATTGTGTACAATATTTATAGTGTTTTAGGAGAGGAAATGACATTGGGAGTGATTGCTAATTACTGACACCCAAGGCTGATTGAACATGGTTGCTGTCATCCCTACTGAACTTCCATTACAAACTCCATAAATGGGTCATTAGCCCATTAAACAGAGTGGCGGTGACTTAGTACAGTACTTAGTGCTGCATTCCAAAATCAAAAGCTTTTTAAAAATTCAAAGACTCAGTTCAGAATATGAGAGATCATGGACAGTCTTATGCAGCAGTGTCACTGGGAGGTGCTAAAAGGACTCAGTTAACCAAGTGTGAGATCATGGATAGTCCCACACAGACATGATATCTAGGACGTTCACATTAAAATGAGAAAACATCAACAGGCCCAGCTCCCATTGATGAGTGTTGCTATAACTCTGTCTGTGTCTGTATCTGTGAATGCCAAACCATGACACTGAAGGGCCAAGGATTTATTTCTCTTACTGTATTTCACTTGTTTGCTTTTACTGTATAAATCATTTACTAACATCATTTTACTAACTATCCTGCTAGAATTATGACAAATTACTAACTGCAACTTAAGTGTGAACTGGCTACATGCCCTGAAAGTGAAGGGCAGAGCCAGCTTCAGGCAGCCTGACCAGAACTGAGAGCGCCTGATATCTGCTTAAGCCATAATTAATAAAACTCCAAGTATATAATGTCTGCTTAAACAATGATTAAAAGGACCCAAAAACATTATGTAAAATTCTTACAGTTTATCACGTACCAAAGCTAGCAGCCTTGGCTTTACACCATATACTTGTATTTGTACACCATATTACTTGGAATTGTACTTGAACTGTTCTGGGTGGGTTTTCTCTTTGTGATTTTGCATACATTTTGTTTATATGAATTGAGTCAGTGCTTCATCGGCTCTGGCTCCAGTGTGCACATGTAATAAAGGTAATGGCTGCTTCATACACACCCGGATTGTGTTTCCTTTGTTGGACACAACAACATTTTAATAGACCAGCCTCCTGATCAACAGTAACATATTAGTGAGTTAACTAAAGATCAAGTTTGTAATATACTTGAAGGTGCCGTTGAGGGTTATTGCTGGTTGTTGTGTTGTGACGCTGTGTCTCTGCTCTCTCCCCTGTCCTGTCTGCAGGATACACAGGGTTCAGGCTGGAGAACGGCTCAGACTCCTGCTCTGGACGAGTGGAGTTACAGTGGCTCTTCAGGGACTGGGGGACAGTGTGTGATCTCTACTGGGACCTGAGAGATGCCACTGTTCTCTGCCAGCAGCTGGGCTGTGGGGAGGCTGTAGCAGCGCCAGGACAGGCCTGGTTTGGACAGGGCAGTGGACCAGTAAGGGCTGATGTCTTTGACTGCCAGTACAATGAGACCAGTCTCTCACACTGTGCTGCCTTTTCATGGGGGATAGCAGGGTGCTCTCATGGACAGGAAGCAGGAGTCATCTGCTCTGGTGAGAATCATGTGATAAAACACAGTGACACCCACTCTGCTTACACACAGCAGCACACTGTCTTCATGATTGAAGGACTTCTCTTTTACACACAACCAGTTAAAGGACAGAGATGCACAGATAATATTCTTAATGCATTTCAGTGTATTTACATCTTTAAAGATGTTAAATCCTACCAAGAATGTTATGAACTGCAGGTATGAAGAAGGTTCTATGAATTCAATTTGGAGTGATGAGACAATCCCCCAAATCATTCAAATAAGATATTTGTTCAAACATTTGTTCTGAGTCTCTAGCTAGCATAGCCTTGACATGATTTAAAAAACATCCTCTGGCAGTGTCTATCAGTGTATTCAGTTATTCAGTATTGCATTGAAACCAAAGTGTATGTAGCTGAGATTGTAAATTTGTGATGTATAACTGTTAATATTGAAAAACAGTATTTTCTGATTGAATTGTTCTTGTGAGCTTCAATAAAACAAGTAGAATCAATAAGCTGTGAACATGTCTTTGTTCAAGATGAATCCTCTTAAGTTATGAATGCAGGTCAAAATTCAAAACATCCATGTCTGTGGACCCATTTCTGGTAATGGTGTGCAGTTGACCAAAACTTAATAATTTTTATAGGTTCCTCCCTGTCAGCGCTAGATGGTGGAGTCCGGCTGTCAGGAGGAGAGAGTCACTGTGATGGCCGGGTGGAAGTTCACTACAACAGCACATGGAGGAGACCCCTCCAGCACTCCTGGGGCTACAGAGAGGCCTCTGTGGTCTGCAGACAGCTGGGCTGTGGCTCAGTGGTGCAAATATACAACTCCTCTGTGTATGAGACAGGTTACAGTGCTATGTGTCTGACAGGTATTGAGTGCTCTGCAGTACAAGTCTATAACTCCTCTCTGTATGGGACAGTGACAGTGCTGTGTGTCTGACAGGTATTCAGTGCTCTGCAGTACAAGTCTATAACTCCTCTCTGTATGGGACAGTGACAGTGCTGTGTGTCTAACAGGTATCCAGTGCTCTGTAAGACAAGTCTATAACTCCTCCCTGTATGGGACAGTGACACTGCTGTGTATCTAACAGATATTCAGTGCTCTGTAGGACAAGTCTATAACTCCTTTCTGTATGGGACAGTGACAGTGTTGTGTAGTTCAAGTCTATAACTACTCCCTGTATGGGACAGTAACAGTGCTGTGTGTCTGACAGGTATTCAGTGCTCTGGGGATGAGTCTCACCTGGTGAACTGCAGTTCTCCACAGACAGTCAACTGTAGTGCTGGACGGGAAGTGTCCCTTCTCTGCTCAGGTAGGAGCCATTTGGTCTACTTGAAGTTTTGTTCATTAGTTTAACCGAATACAGACAGTCATGTGAAAAAGAAAGTCACCCTCTTTCAATTCTATGGTTTTATATTTCAGGACATAAAAAATGATCTGGTCCTTACCAGGTCCTAAAATTAGGTAAATCTAACCTCAGGTGACAAACAACACATAACAGATTCCACTATGTGTGAAAAAATAAGTACACCCCATGATTCATGATTAAGTAGCTTGTAGAACCACCTTTAGCAGCAATAACATGAAATAATCATTTTCTATGAGTTTATCAGTCCCTCACATCGTTTTGGAGGAATTTGTGCACACTCTTTTTGACAACATTACTTTAGTTTTTTTATGTTTGAGGGCATTTGTTTATGCACAGCTCTCTTAAGGTCCTTCAATGGGGTTGAGGTCTGGACTTTGACTTGGCCATTTGAATACCTTGATAATTTTCATTTTCAGCCATTCAGTTGTAGATTTCCTAATGTGCTTGGTATCATTGTCCTGTTGCTTGACTCAATTTTGGCCAAGCTTAAGCTGTAGGACAGATGAATAAAGCTAGCGCTTGGTTTGTTAATTGCGTCTCCACTGGTCTTTTGTTCTGAAAAGAACTTGTAAACGCTACATTGGTGTCAGAAGCAGGCAGGATGAACAAATCGTGGCAGACACTACCCGATTCACATTTCTCTCTAGAATACTTTGGTATAAAGAGGAGTTCATGGTCGACTCGATGACTGCAAGGTGCCCTGATCCTGTGGAAAAACAAGCCCAAATCATCACCCCTCCACCACCGTGCTTGAAAGTTATGGTGATATGCTGTGTTTGGTTTTCACCAAACATGGCATTGTGAATAATTACAAAACAACTCCACTTTAGTCTCATCTGTCCAAATGACATTGTTCCAGAAATCTTGTGGTTTGTTCAGATGCAGCTGTGCAAACCTAAGCCGTGCTGTCATGTTCTTTTTGGAGAGAAGGGGCTTTCTCCTGGCTACCCTTCCATGAAAGCCATACTTGCTCAGTCTTTTTCTGATCGTACTGTCATGAACTTTAACATTTAACATGTAAACCGAGGCCTCTAGATCCCTAGATGTAGGTCTTGGGTTCTTTGCGATTTCTCTGAGCAATATATCATCTGACCTTGGGGTGAATTTGCTGGGACGCCCACACCTGACTTGAATGTTCTCCATTTGTAAATAATTCTTCTCAATGTTGAATGATGGATATCAAATTGTTTGGAAAAGGCCTTATAACCCTTTCCAAATTGATGAGCAGCAACAATTGCTTATCTGGTTTTATTGTTGATGTCTTTTCTCCTTGGCATTTTGTTAACACACACCGAATGGTCCAGACCACCAAACTGCCAATAGTTCTGCTTTTATAGAGGTGGTCACACTTACTGATGATCAACTAATCATGTGCATTTGATTAGCAGCACCTGGCTGCTAACTACCTTCTTGATTCATATGGAAGCGGTATGGGTGTACTTAATTTTTCCCACATGGTGGAACAAATGTTGTGTCCATGAGGTAGAGAAAGGACCCTGTGCATTGTTCTGAGAGTTTCAGTAGATCGTTGGCTATTTTTCCAAATTGCTGGGCTGAAGTCGGAGTCAAGGGACGAAGGTAAGATGTCTAAGGCTAGATATCCAAATCGCGGGGCTGAAGTCGGAGTTGAGGGACAAAGGTAGAATATTCAAAGACCTGCGTATCAATCCGAAAGAGAATGTCTCAATAGCAACAGCGAGGTAGGTGTTCCAAGGATAGAGGCTAATACCGAGCGCAGACCTGAGGGTAATGAGGATTTAAATATCCCGGGAGGTGGAGGGTTTGGAAATTAGTGTGGTGTCATGTTTGGATAATTGATCGGTGTGCTGGCGCTTGCTGGAATTACCCATAGCTGTGGTTGGTTTAGCAAAAGGTCATTTACGGTTGCTGGTGGATGTGATGTGATTTCCGCATTTTGTTAAATAAATAATGAAAAAGTGAAATCTGTTATGTGTTGTCTGTTACCTGAGGCTAGATTTGTCTAATTCTAGAAGTTGGTGAGGACCAGACAATTGTTATTTATGCCCTGACACGTAAAACCATTGAATGGAAAGAGGGTTTACTTTCTTTTTCACATGACTTGGACAACAAGATGGTGGCGCGCATGGACGCAGCAGCTTCATTAGCTCTCAAACAATGGTGCTGTTTGTGTATTGTAACGCCCTCGCCTGGTGGTGAGGAGGAAGCGCCCCTAGGTGCTCGTAGTACCGCTGGGCATGCTGGGAGTGGTAGCCGGGGAGAGTCTGAGGGTCAGCACGATGACCAGCGACTGACCCTACCTGTATAAATAATGTCCTAGTAGTTCTAGTGCCCTGTGTAGTCTTGTAAAAGTATAGCGTGTTGTTAAGTAATTACCACCCTAAAGATGTGTACGTGTTCTGTCAGTCTCCTCATGTGCGTGTATATCCTGTGTTTGGTTTTGTGTGGTTGCTAATGAATAAAGCTAGCGCTTGGTTTGTTAATTGCGTCTCCACTGGTCTTTTGTTCTGAAAAGAACTTGTAAACGCTACATTGGTGTCAGAAGCGGGCAGGATGAACAAATCGTGGCAGACACTACCCGATTCTGTTAAGCGCCAGCTGACGCTGAAAGAAACAGAACCCATCGGC